GTAAAGCTGGATTTAAAGCTTCAAATGAAAGCAAGAGAGAGCACACACAACTAGATGAATTTGGGATATTAAAATGGAAAACATTACTTCATTTGAAGAAGACATGTTAAGGAATGCTTTCCAGCATAAAAGAAAAATAATTCTAAGTCATTTAGCCAATTTGTCCTTAGCATGAGAATTATATCTTTGCTAGGCAATCTTTCTTTATTGTTTATTATTTATTGAATACCAAGTATGCAGCACTATATAAATCATCATAGACACAGTTCCTACCCTGAAGGCATACAATCTAAGCTGGAGAAAACAATTCAGACATAAAAGATGTCAAATGTGTTGATTAAACTCAGAAGATTGAGATTCTTAATTATAAATATGTCTTTATGGCTTAGGAAGTGAAAACCATAAATAAGACAAAAGGCAAAATGATAGGGAATCACATTCTAGATGTGTTTTATATCTACGGTCTGTTATTACCTAGGAAGTAATAGTTGTACGTAAACTTGAGAAAGGAAAAAATAAACAGAAACACAAAATTTTGGGAAGGTGATACAAGAATGACCTTCTATTTTCTATTAACATTTTCCCCTTCTTATTTCCTTAAAAAAAAAAAAAACAACAAACAAGATTCTGGTTCATTATGAACCTTGATTATATTCTTAGCAACATAATGCTTTTATCTCATTAATTTACATAAGTTTTCAAAAGGAAGGCGGGGGCGAGCGACGGGCCGCGGGGGTGCGGCGGCTCGTCCTCTCCCACTTTCCTCTGAAGCCTCAAGTTTTCTCTGAGACCCCACACCCGCTCACTCATTTCCTTTTCCTCCCCCCGCCCCAGCCCATCCAGCTTCTCCTTTGATCTCGTATCACCTAGATTCTGAGGTGCCCCAATAACCAGTTCTCCCTTCCTGCTGTCCGACCTCGGTACCTCGGACACATCCTCTCCCCCTGACTCGCCCCTTCCCCACCAGGGGCCTCCGCATCGCCCCCCTTGGTGCATATGGTGACAAGGCAGTGCCGCCTCTTGGACATGCAAATGGTCGCCTGAGGCTGCAGGTCTGCGGCAAGTATGGAGGAAAGTTTTCTCTCTTTGTAGCTGCTTCTCGCACTTGCTTTCATATATCTCGCTTTCTCCTGGTTGTTTTTCTTTAACGCGCTGCCTACACTCATGAAACTGCGGCACTGCAGGTGTTGACCTGAGCATTTCTAAACCTTTAGTTAATATCAGCCTTTCGGTGTTCCTAGATTTTCTCATTTCTTTCTGAGGAATGAAGCCACCATTGCGTGTCGCGGGGTGTAGCGTGTAGGTAGAGAAGAGCCGGCGGAGAACGGTTTGAAACTAACCGGCATGAAAATTAACTGCAAAGGCAGCGGTGAGCCCCTTAGCGCGTACTTCATACTGTAAACGCATCCTGCATCTTCCTCAAGCCAAATTCCTGCGTGACATTCCCAACCCCGTCACATGAAAAGTCCCTTCCCCTCTTTTTACACCTGTGTAGCACCCAACCTGATGATTTCAACCAGCCGTGCAGGTGGCTGGCTGGGAGGGAAGCGGCCGCTGCCAGCCTGGAGCCCCAGGGAGAACTCAGATCCGAGATGTCTCGTTCTTGGGCGGACAGAAAACAGCTGCATGAATCTCTACCCGGATTCACTCAAATAAACAGGGAACAGATACAGTCAGGAATCCATGGAACCCCTTTAAGAAACACCCAGGTACCTGAAACAGTGCGCCCTGCACCACGATGCTGTCCTGCAGTCTGCAGAGCATATTTATTACCGTTATGTTAGGGAGTCCATTGCTTTCATGAGCGGATCTCAGACATTGGCATAGGACACCTAACATTTTTCTAAGCAAGCGTTTAATTTTTATTTTATTTGTATAAGAGTGGCATTTGATGTGCAGCTTACTGTTGTTGCTGCTACTGCTGCTTTAAGAGGCAAACTGCTTTAAGGGGAAACATTGTAACTGTTACCAAATAAGAGAAGCCAGAAGTTTTCCGGGTGATGCTGAGAAGGTGAGGTACTTGCAGCCAACACCACAGTTGCCTGGCGGCACTGCACTGCTTTCCCCACAGGACTGGAACGGTGGCTGAGACTTCACCTCTGAGGTTCTTTGCAACTCTCAGAAACCTGTGATTCCTCTTCCTGGCAGAGGGAAAGACTGCAGCAGAGAACATTGGGAAGGGGGAGGGGGGTGTTCTCCGCTGTCTCAAATAATGCAACTTTCAAAACAACTTTACTAGCTTAAATCTATCAAGAGATCCATCCAAACTCAGCCATTCTAGGGTGTCAGGCCGATGCCATTAGGTTGTCCTGAATTTCAGTCGGCCCTGGCAGACAAGCTAGGGCACTTTTCCTGATGGCTTTTTATAGCCTACTCGTCCTTGGTCTCCCCATTCATCAGTGATTCAACAGTGGGAAAGGCTTCTCTGGGGAGGATGAGGAAGGTGGGAGAGAACCTAGATGAGCCATATTTTTGTCTCTCCCAATTACATGAGGATAAAAGTGGCAGAATGGATTTTTTTAAAACCTGCTCCATGTAAACCACATGGTTTCACATTCAGTGTGTGTGAGTGGGCCTGCACCGCACTCTTAGGTATCATGAATTCATTTCCTTTGTGCCAGCTGTCTTGCTTCCGAGTTTCAGGTCACCCTCAGAGATCTTAAGTCCATCAGCGATTTTTTGGTTTTTGGTTTCTTTTTGGCCAGGACTCTGATTGAAGCCTCTGACTGCAGAGAAGGCTTCCCAGGAAGAGGGAGGGGCTGGTGGATGCTGCAGGGGCGGTGAAATCTGCAGAGGAAGAAATCTGCAGGGCACCTGCTGCCATCCTTTGGGAAGCACAGGGGAGTGAGGAAGGGAGGGAATAAGGGCTCAGAGCCCTTGGCTTTTCAGAACCTGGTGAACAGGAAGTGGAGAGAGGGGCAGATGGCCTGTGCTTAGGAATGCAGATCCCTGGTTTGTTTTGGGTGTGTGCATTTTTAAATAGCTCCTGGCATAGCCACTTCATTCTCCACTACAGCCTTGCTTTAGAAGGGCTCCGGAACCCCTCCAGTGTCTGCGTCTTGGTGACTCTCCCTTCAGCCTTCCTGCCAGGTGCTGCCACTTTTAAATACATTCTGTCCAGTCATCCTTCTTTTTCAATCCTCTTTGCAGAACTGTGCTCTGAATGCCACATGGCATTTACTGTGTGTGTCAAAGCAAAGTGAAAAGGAGCAACTTTTTAAAATCTTGATTTTCCTTCCACCTAACCGTAAATGTTTTTGCATTAGTGTTGTTTGCAGTGGTGTCGCTATTTCTTTAGAAGGCGTTTGGGTGTTGGTCCACACTTGTGCATTTATTCTCCTCTAAGCATATTCTTTTTTAAATGTGTTTTTACTGATTTCAGAGAGAGGAAGGGAGAGGGATAGAAACATCAGTGATGAGAGATCATCTAACTGCGACCTCCTGGTTCATGGGTCCACACTCAACCACTGAGCCACACCAGTCGGGCTGTAAGCATATTCTTTACCAACATGAAACTGGTTGAGGGCTCCCGAAAAAAACATACTCCTAGAAGATAAAAATTATTTAGAAAAGAAATATGGAAGTATGTTGATGAAAAGTACCATTTCTCCCATACTGGTTATCCCTGATATTTCTATAATCCCCTGCTATCTCTATAATCCCCTAAGGGACTGTTTGAGGTAGTTTAGTTTACAAGTAAATATGTTAACATTACCACAAAGCCCATACAATGTAACTCTTAGAAACACTGAAAAAATTGTAGCTTCTTCTCCAGGGCCAAGAGTCAGAAAGCTTCTGACAGGTGGGACCTGGTGGCTTTTCATTATTCTGAAATGCTTTGGCACCCCGGGAAGTTCTGCATTGGCCTTAGATTTGAAAAGCTCAACTTCAAGGTGAAAGTCTTATGAGGCAGGCCTCACGAAAAGCATTAGTCCAAAGAACACGGGAGCAAAGTTCTGCCCCCAGTGAGCTGTGGGAACAGTCCTAGTCCAGAGCAGCAGATGGGTCTCCATTCAACCCACCATCAGGTGGACACATCAGCGTCAGCAAAGCTGGCTTCAGTGTGTGGGCGCAAGGAGGAAAGAAGGATATAAACACCTGCAGGACACCTACCCTACGATGGGCCTTTGATTTCTATCATTGAATAATTACAAAGTCCCTGTGATGGTTTTTATTCAGAGCAAACAGCTGAGGCCCAGAAAGGTTAAGTAATTTGCCACCTCACACAGCTGCTTCAAACCTAAGCTCTGTCTGCTTCCTGGGTAGTGACCCACTGATTACACAGGCTGCAGCCACTGGCATTTGCTGCTTCCATGTGTGTCTGTGGCATCGGTAACTGCATGCCACAGTCTGCAGAGTCTGCTGTGTGAGTAGCAAACCTCGCGTGTTTGGGGGACCCTGATATGAACTGATTTCTACCACGAGGAAGTTGTTGCTGAGCACGTTAGATTCGGACAGCTAGTGGCGGCAATAGCCTGCATGTAGGTCTCTTAAATGTCCCCAAGTAAACAAAAAGGATCCTACCAGTGGGACCTGACACATAGCTGGTGATGTCACTTTTTAAACGTTACTCTAACATCGGTTTGCAAAACACCTTTCCTAGAATTAGTGACCTAAAATGCAAACTTAGCTGATCTAAACTCTTTCAAATAACTACAACCATGACGTCCACCTTTTTTTCCCTAACAAAAATACCTTCATTTTCCACTCTTATAAATAGGTTTTCTTTGGAAAAGTGACCTTAAAATGGTCATAAAAAAAATACAAGAAAAAATGCTGGTACTCACCATCCCATTACTGGAGTTTATCATGCTTTCTACAAATCTTCAACTCTTTAAAAAGAAACATGAGTAAAATCAACAGAAAATGTATAGTGTGTGGAAGCCACAAATATATTTCCTCTCTGTTTCTTGTAACCGGTTTATTATTTCTTTGTATAGTATCCTCGCCATAGGAATCATCATCACGCATGAATCTCTCATCCCTTGGTGATATGTTTGAAAGAAAACTTCCCCACTGTAATATAAATATGCCTGGTTTTACAGCAGCACATTGTGAAATAATGCATCAGAAAGTGTGCTATGCGGCTACATAAAACTCAGATTGCAGCCGGCAGGAGAACGCCAGCGGAATAGGTTAAAATGGAAAGGCACGGTTATATTCAGAACACGTGCAGTGTCAGAAATGACCGAGACTTGCTGCTGTCCAAGCAGAAATGATGTTGGCAGGTTCAGACCCCTGAATGCCTGCTGCTCGCAACTCGCCAAGGTAATGTCTTTCTCCCCAGAGGCCTGCTCCACAGTGCCTTGCCCTTAATCACAGTCACGAGGCGCGCGCAGAGGTAAGAGAGTAAGCTGGGGACACTGAAGGGCTCAGTTTGCAATCACTTCAGGCAGGTCACAGCCAGACCAGCCTGAACCAGCAGTGCTGATCCTGTTTATTGAATTGTGCTTTCCTGAATTCAGGGAGATAGATGCACGCGGCTGCTGCTGCAATTTAGGGGCTAACTAGCTTCAAAAGCATTCCATGCGGCGCCTGGGTTTCTCTGCTGACCTTTACAGTGGTTTAATCAATTAATTGGAGGAATGCGAGGTTGACCGTTTGCAAAGAGAGAGCAAAAGCATTTCCGTCTGCAAGAGACAGAGTCTCGCAGCCCTGCGGGAGCCGTCCAGGGCCGCAGTGCGCGGTCTCGCCCGCGCTGGAGGCTGCGCGCTCGCAGCAGAGGCGGCTGCAGATTTGCAAATGGGCGGATCCCTGGATTCCGACTGTAAAGCAGGCAGGCTTCTGACACCAGGATATAGAACACTGGCTTTGGTAAGTTGAACATGCAAGAGGCCGTCGGGATTAGAAAAGTGAAACTTGATGGTGTCTAAATGGCTCATTGATTGATTAAATAACTCATCCATTCATTCATCCATGGAGTCACCACCTGTCAGCGGAACCTTCTAATGCGAACAACTCTATACAAGTTGGGGGGGGGGGGCGGGGGGGGGAGGGGGGTGCAGTGCAGGGAGTCTTAGCACAGCCCCTGTCTCCAAAGGGCTTGGAAAAACACCTGAGCACAATAAAAAGACCAGCTACTGATACAGCAACATGGACGACTCTCAGAAACAGGACACTGATCCTGAGTGAAAGTAGACGATAAAAGCTTCCTGCTGTGTAATTCCATTTACATGAAATCCTAGAACAGGCGAACTAATGGATGAGGGACAAAATCAGAGCAGTGGCTGCTTCAGGAAGTGTGAGGTGGGAATGACTGAGAGGAGGCATGAGACAGGGAGCGTTCTGTGGACACTGTGCTCCAGCTCTCTCCCGAGAAGTTCGGATTGGGTGGGTGCATGCACTTGTCAAAATCAGGATGTAACAGGAGTTGTGCATTTTATTGAATGTAAATTTTACATCAAGAGAAAAAAGACTGTAAACCACACATATATATACACATGTGTAATTATAAAAATAAATTAGCAATATAGAAATAATATATTACATAAATTTAAAATATATAACAAATGATTACAGGGGTACAGAGGGCTTCACATATGTCCATTCATTCTATCACTAGGATCTTCCTGATGATTATCACAATGATATGCAATGATCTAGGAAATTTTATGAGATCAGGTTTTTTGTTTGTTTTTAAATTATTTTTATTGATTTCAGAGAGGAAAGGAGAGGAGAAAGAGATAGAAACATCAATGGTGAGAGAGAGTCATTGATTGGCTGCCTCCTGCACGCCCCCCACAGGGGTTAGAGCCCGCTGGCATGTGCCCCAACTGCGAATCAAACCCCGACCTTTCGGTTCACAGGTCCATGCTCAATCACTGTGCCACAGCGGCATAAGCGATCTAAAAAAAAATCCAAAAAAAACACAAAACAATAAACAAATTGCTATCTGAACAAAAATTTATATTACAAAGTACTTTAAAAATAGGTAAGCAGACAAACATACAGGTGATATTTCAAAGAATTATGCAAAAGTTAAATAATAAAAGGCAAAACCTGAGAGATGTCTCAAAGAAGAGAATGGTAAAAGCAGTAATTGCTATGGTTTGAGAAAATGAAGAGGTCAAATGAATTACATGAATCAACATTTCTGTGGCCCGTTTCTATGCCGCGTGCTCTGTGCAGCATCATGTTTAATCCTAGCAGCAGCCCTATGTACTGAATGTTCTTATAGTTGTAAAGATGAGTACATGTATTTCTGTTAGTCTATTCCAATATTGTATAAAAATGGGGTTTTTTTTAGCAGTTTTACATTTGTATAAATTTAAAAAATTTTGAAAGTTAAGGCTATTAATTTATTATTTGTTTTTTAAAAAACATAAAAATAGTCCCTAGCCAGTTTGGCTCAGTGGATTGAGTGTTGCCCCATGGACTAAAGAGTCACAAGGACACGTCTTGGTTGCAGGCCATATCCCCGGTGGGGATCCATTTTCTGACCCCTTCGTGGTGCCCCTCCACAGATTAGGGAACCCCAGTTGCTTCCCGTTTTCAGATCAGATTCTTGATGCATTACTACTCATAGTATGATCTCTTTGACTACTGTTAAAATGCCAATATCATGGAAGAGGTAAGGGTTAGAGCTGGTATCAGTCCTTTACGCCTAAGACGAAATATGAGATTGATAATAGCTTTTGAAATAAAAAGAGAGAAGAGAAAAGCTTGAGGGCCTTGAGCAGTGAGCATAGGGTAGAAAGGGGAAAAGGACAAAAATGCTTCTGACATGAGGTGGGTGGTCAGAGAATAAACCAGAATGGTGGCAGGGCTGGAAGCAAAATATTCCTTATAGACTTCAAATTCACCATGACTAAAATAAAGGACTCTACTTCCCCGGTATAATTTGACTGGGACATCATCTATCGTAGTTATAACCAATTAATCCGGGGAAACCCCCAAAGCATTATTTTGGGGTGTCTTCTCCCAACTGGACTTTGACCAAAGAAACCTTGTTCATTGACAGGCATTCATCTGAGCACCTTGGCTCTTGCATGCTCCAGGAAGGTGCCAACCAACTGGGAAAAGGACAAAGTAGCAAATAGAGGAGAAGCAAAATGGTAGACTGACCCACATACCAGGTAAGCAAATCTGAGAAGGACTGATAGGAAGTGAAATCATGATTCTATAACTTAAGAAGGAAAGGAAAATGGACATCTATTGAGCATAATTAGTTGTGCGCAATAATATTAATAATAGCTTTGTGTTGGGTACTGTGCTGTCATTTTTTGGGAGAATTTCATTTAATCATCATAAAATCCTGATGAGTTGGCTGTTAAAATCATCCTCTTTTTAAAGATGTGGAAACTAAGGTTTAGTTAGACTGGAGCCTACACCATATGCCTAAAGAACTTAGTTATTATACCATTGAATCTTCACAGAACTCTAATAAGGCATTATTTTTATGTGGAAATGAGATTCTGCGAATTAAGAATATTGGTCAAGGTCACACAGCTGGGTCAAAGTCTGTCTGAATTTTCACCAAAGGGAAAGAATGTTTTTGAGAAGTGCTATGCAAATGAGAGCTCTCACGTTTTTTTTCCTATAAAGTATAAAAATTTACAAACTGGTGCAAGAAAATGCTCCAATAGTCGGAGTCAAGGCTGCTCAAACCACATACAAGTAGAGTAATTCATATAATGATCGATTAAGCAGAGCACTACAGACACATGCCAAATAAGTCAATGTTGTGCTTTATTAGCAGCCTCCAAAATAGACATCCATCGCTGCAGAACATCGGAACCAAATTACACTTGGGCATCTCTCTCCAGACACAGGCTGGATGTCACATCGCTAACTGGCAATTCCTTCTATTATTATATTATCTGGAGAGGAAAAGGCAGACTGAAAAAGATTCCCGCCTCTTTCAGTATCACTTTATCTTACAAATTCAATAAACTGCACTGCCAAGTCACATTAGAGTAACAGATGTGCTTTAGAATAGGCCTGAGATATTTCCATTGGCAAAGTGTTTTCTTTTTCTTATGCCAAAAAAGTTCTTGCCTATTACCCTGATTGATACTTCTTTAGAAGTTATCCAAATTAAAATTCCCTTCCAGATTAGTTTCCAAATTTAGAAAGATTAATTAAGTAAAGCACACAGCTCTGTCCTGACAATTAAATGTCCAGATGGGTGGAAGGCTTGGCTCCATATAAAATTCAGAGCTGTCCAAAGGTGAAAGAGACGGCTCTAGGCACAAAGCAATAGCAGTTCAAAAGGGAATCACTCCGCCTCTAAGCTGGCCTTGACCCTAGATGGCCTTGGGTCCTCTGCCAACCTGAGATTTTCCGATTCCGAAGTATTGAAAAGGTGCCCAGCTGGTGTGCTCAGTGGTTGAGTGTCCACCCAGGAACCAAGAGACCGAGGTTCCATTTCCAGTCAGGGCACATGCGCAGGTTGATCCCCAATAGGGGGTGTGCAGGAGGCAGTTGATCAATCTCTCTCTCTCTCTCTCTTTCTCTTTCTCTCATCAATGTTTCTATCTCTCTATTCGTCTCCCTTCCCCTCTCTCTCTAAAGTCAATTTTTTTAAGTATTGAAAAGGTGAAAAGTACTGACTAAGCTAGGACAGGGGAGCGCTCAAATCTTAACAGTTATCAGTGATCATGAATGCGAGTTCAAATGCATAACATTACTTCCCAAACTGGACTTGCTCATATCTTAATTCAGACATGAACCAAAGACTGAATATAAGCAAAATCCAGCAGAATGAGATTTTTGAGAGAAAAAAAAGGAAGAGTTACTAATTGAAGCTTTTGGGGAATATGTATCTGCTTATTTGCATTGAACTCACCTTTCTTACAGAATAGAGGTAATAATCACAGCTAAACAGCTCAATATTTTTCAGTTGAATTGGTTCCCATTCACCTAACACAATAGAATTGCTTTTCTCTCCTGTTGATTTTTTTTTGTCTTTTCATGGGTTGATTATGAAAAAAAGGAGAAAGAAGCAGATGCTTCTCTTATTCTTGCTTCAGAATTAAGTGTTGACACAGCTAGCATTAGGCCCATTTAGATTTTTCTCCTAGAACCTGAACCCTAGCATGAGAAATAGAATCACCCCTCTCCACTACCACCCCGCTCTTGTCTTTGGTTCTTTATCTCCTTTTAAAATCGGTGTATTGCTGGTTTACCTTTGAAGAAAAGAACCTAAGAATTTGAACTCAATGGCCAAGAAAGAGTAACTGGAGTCTAGGGTTAGAGAGAGGACATGCAAACCATCTCTAGGTATCACTATGGTAACCATCCTGGGTGGTGAGTGGAGCCAGCTGTTACTTCCAAAAAAGGGGGTGGAGGAGGGAGAGTCATCTAAGTCAGCAAAATGTAGCAAGTATCATCTTTTCCAATAAGCTAAATTTTCTGGATGTGATGTTCTGTTGACAATCTTGAAAGTCCATACAGCTTTGGGAAATGACATAAAAATGTGGGGAAAGCCCTGGATTGAGGTTGAGATGTCTGATCCTAGATCAAGCTCTGCCACTCACCCAGTGCATCTTCAAACGGGGCCACACGCTTCCCTGATGGACTGGAGGCCTTTCCAAGGGGCTCACTGGCATAGATGGTGCTGAGGGAATCTGTTTCCATGCCCCAGTAGCCAGATGTAGTCTTGGGTAAAATTCAGCTGCTTGAGAATTTGCAGTAATTCTCTTTTCTTAGCTTCACCATAAATTGAATGAGCTAAATCTGCAGCAACAGAGTTTTGACAAAAATGCATTTAAATCACATAGGAAGATAATTTCATTCTTAACATTGTGTTGATAAAGATCTGTTGAAATGAAAAGTATTCCTATTCTAGCCCTTTCCAAGTTTAATGAGTTATATATCAAGGTGCTCTAAGTGAAAAATACATCGGTATAACTTATAGTCACTTGCTAAGACTTGGTGAAGCCTCTTTTGGTATACTTCCAGGCATGGAGTGAATAAATTGCTTTAATCATCCAGTGACACACCCTATGCAAGCTAGGTACTTTCTAAGACTTTGCTTTTAGCAAAATTAAAGGAGTACTTAATAGATTGATTAACCAATTGATCATTAAAATATTCTTTATAATAGGACAATTGGTGCTTTCTGGCTTGAAATTTGGAAAGATTTCAATTACTGAGTGACTTTGCTAAAACAGTATAAAAACATAAAAATTTCTATTCCTGTATACTTATATTCTTAAAACATATATGTCTATTTTTATAGACATATACATATTTTATACTTTTATACCTTTAGGTAAAAAAGATTTCTCAGCATTTTAAAAATTTTATGTGTGTGTGTGTGCCCATGTGTGTATTTTTTGAAAAGAAAAAAATAGAATTGTTTTATTATTCATTCTAGAAATCAGTACTATTCACTCAATTATGTATGGATTAATTAAGAGGTACATTGAAAATAAAAATCCATTCTTTGTTTTAATGATTGCTTATTAAAACATAAGATAAGCCTGTTTTGAGTAATTGTGTACTAATATTATAATCATAATTCAATCCAGAAAACTTTGTAATACTAAGATGCTTATGAGTACATGAAATAATACTTAATTTACAATTCTCATACCTATTTTTTATTGCAGAGAAGAGTGATAGAAGTATAGTACACAGTTTACAAGCATTAAACATACTATATTAGGGATAAACTAATGTGGAAAGAGTAGTGGAAATAAGAGTTCAAAGGAAAAAAAGGAACCATAATTTTGGTGGAAGATAATCCTGTGCCATGTGGCTCGGTTGGTGGGAGCATCATCCTATGCATTGAAAGGTCTCAGGTTCGATTTCTGGTCAGGACACATGCCCAATTGCGGGTTCAATTCCCTGGTTGAGGTGTGTATGGGACACATTCTAAGTTTTTCACTCTCTCTTTCTCTCCCTTCCTCTCTCTCTAAAATAAAAAAATTAGTAGTTGGTGAAAGGTAAAGAAGAGCTTGTTCTGAATTGTTGACATGAATGGTGATGGGTGACATGCTGGTTTTTGTGTTTAGATTCCATTTGATATATTTAAAAGTGTAACTTTATTTTTAAATGTTTATATTTAAAATACACTGAAAATTACAACTTGCAACTATTTAAATGTATTATGAAAGTCTTAGAAAATTTAAAATAAAAACAGGAGTTATATAGATTTCCAAAATTTTTCTAGGGGGTGTGTGAGCAAAAGAAAATGTTTGAAGAGCACTCACTTGGGCAAAAAAAAATTGAATAGACATTTCCCTGAAGAAGATAGATGAATGTCTGATAAGCACATGAAAGATGCTCAACATCATTGGTCATTAGCCAATTTTAAATCAAAACCACAGTGAAATATCAATTCCTACCCACTAGAATGAATATAATAAAAATGGACAATAACAAGTGTTGACAAGGATACGGAGAAATTGGAACCTTCAAACACTATTGGTGGGACTGTTAAATAGTGCCGCTACCTTGGAAAAGTTTGTCAGTTTCTCAAAATATTAAACAAAATTACCATGTAGTCAAGCAATTCTACTCCTAAAAGTCTACCCGAAAAAAATGAAAACATACATCCACACAAAGATTTGCACATTCCCTTTTATAGGAAGGAATTTACACAACTTTTTTCTGTTGTCCTCCATCAATAGACTAGGTTAAACTTTCTACCAAGTTATCAGAGCTAAAAAGGAGAATTACCTGGTTACTATGCATCTCAAAATATGAGAAAAAAAAATGAACAAGCAATTTGTTTTCAGTCTTTCCAGCTACAAAGAGAACTGCTTTTGTATACCTCTCAACTGAAAAGAAAGGACTAAATTCATAATTTCCAATTTAAGTTGAGAATGTTTTGAACATTTTTTTTCAAATATGTGCCTTGATATTTGAATATAAGTAGATATTTGTATATATTTCAAAATGATCACCTCAAGATTATGTTTTTATTTTCTTGGTAGGTATGCCTCCTTTTTCATTGCTCATATTATCTATTTGTGTATCTACTTTTTAAAATAGTGGTAAAAATATGTAACAAAATTTACCATCTTAACCATTTTCAAGTGTACAGTTCCATGGTGTTAAATATACTCATATTGTTGTACAACAGATCTAGAACTTTTTCATCTTGCAAAACTGAAACTCTATAGCCATTAAACAATTCCCCACGTATCTCTCTTCCTATTTCCTAGCAGCCACCATGCTACTTTCTGTTTCCATGAATTTGACTTCTCTAGGACTTCATATCAGTGGAATCATGCAGTATTTATCTTTTTCTGACTAGGTTATTTCACTTAAAATAATGTCCTCCACGTTCATCCATGGTGGAGCATATGACAGCAGATTCTTCCTCTTAAGGCTGAATAATATTCCATTGTATGGAAGTACCACATTTTTACTTATTCACCCATTGATGAACACATGATGCTTTCACCACTGGTTATTGTGAACAATGATAAAATAAACATGGGTGTGCACATATCTCTGAGGTCTTGCTTTCAATTCTTTTGGATATATACTCAGAAGTGGGATTGCCAGATTACATGGTGATTCTATTTTTAATTTTTTAAGGTACTTCCATATTGTTTTCTGTAGAAGTTTCCCCAGTTTACATTTCCACCAACAATGCACAGGGTTCCAACTTCTACCCATTCTTGCCAGCACTACTTATTTTCTTTTTTACTAGAGGACTGGTGCATGGGATTCATGCACTGGTGGGGGGCGTGTCCTGTGGGGATCGGCCCGCTGTGGGGCCACCACTCATCCCATTCAGCAGAGCGGCTGTGGACCCACCCTCTGAGTGGGAGCGCTGCTCATCCTGGTCAGCCAAAGCAGACATCCCCTGAGGGGTCTCGGACTGCAAGAGGGCACAGGCCGGGCTAAGGGACCTCCCTGCCCCCAGTGCATGAATGTTGTGCACCGGGCCTCTAGTCTGTTATAAACAGCAGACAGCTGAATTTTGTTCTTTGAATTCCCTCTGATAATATTAGGCTTTTAATTTGTAGGTAAATTAAGTCTATTCACATTTATTGTATTTACTAATATACTTGATTTATTTTTAGCATCTTATTTTATGTTTTCTGTTTATCCTGCTTTTTTATGCTCTTTTTTTCCTGCCTTCATTTGGGGTGGTCAAATTTTCTTTATTTTCTTTTTTTCCCTTCTCCATTTTGAAAATGTTAAACATTGTGTTTTTATTATTTGGTGGCTAAGGTCTAACAGAAGTAGTTACTGAAGCCTAAATTTAGCCAGTGCATAGCACCCAGTGTTGCCCATTGATGCCCACTTTCCACCATCCCAGGCAGACATTCTGTTCCCAGTTGCATAATTTCTTCAGTAAAAGTTCCCATGTGGTTGGTTGCAGTGTGGGGAAAGCACCCTGGATTTTAAGTCCAAAGCCTTGCACTCACATCCTAGTCCCACAATTTAATAACTCGAAGGTCTTGAACAAATAATGTTTCTGAGTTTTTATTTTCTTATCTATACACAGAGTCAAGTGTGCATATAGATGTGTTGAGAGAATCGAATAGGATCATGTGTGTAAAGTATCTGCTACATTATTTGTGCAATAATAGATCATTATTATTTGGCAGTGTCTTTGTTGTTGTTGTTCTGGTTGTTGTTTTTCAAAGACTTAATTTTGAGTCCCAAAGGATCCATTAAGAATAAATGAGATTATGCTTTGATTCCTTTGTAGGAAAAGTGATGGTAATGTTATGAACCCAGCTCCTTAACAGAGTACCAACCACTATCAGAGAACAGGTGTGCATGTTGTTGCTTGTTTTAAAATTTATCATTTCATTTTGGTTTTAATAAACTGACATTAGGTTCCAAGCTATAAACGTATCTGTAATCTTCTAAGGAACTATGGTTTATGCTTAATTGATGCTTTCTTCTTCCAAGCCAGACTGCTAAAACTCCCCCAGCTGTTTATTAAGAATTCGTCAGGTCAGTGGCACCTTTTAAAGAAAGTTTCTGTATCCTAAAAAGTGCCTTTAACATTATTTCTGATGGGCAAAGCCACTTTTCAAAATTATTAAAACAACAAGACCAACATCTAGTGGCGAAATAAGTACACTGCAAGATGAATCCCTGCCTGCGAATGTCAGCAACACAGCAAACTTCCAGAGGGAGGTATTTGCTTTCAAAACCCAGGACTCCTAGGATAGTCACCCCAAAATGCTAAATCGTTAGTGGCAGAATTCCAGGTCTTTGTTAAATCGAGGACATTTGGGGGAGAAATAAGCGTGGATTTTTAGTGCTATTTAATATATATGATAGAACATGACTATCCAGCTTATGTTTAAGAGGTCTCCAAAGTGAAAGTTGTTATACCAGATTTTAGAGGAATTTTATATCCAGTGTAGAAGACGCGATTAGAATATAATTTATAATTTTACTGATCACCCAGCATGCAGTAGAATAGTTACTGCTATAAATAAATTTTTAGTGTGAAAGTAAGCTTCCAATCAGGTAGTTAATTACTTCATATATTATTTTTACAAGACTGCCTTAGCAAATAAATGTTTCTTCTGAATCTATAAAACTCATTAGGAGCACTTACGCAATGTATTCTTTATAATTTACACCTCAGGATCGTGAAATTGCTCCACGGGGGCCACGGGAGGTTAAGTGTAAGACGATAACTCTGAGAC